GGCTTAACAATCATTTTTCGACGGATGAGGGAGGTTAACTTATTTAATGCGTAGACTTCGGTTAAAAATTCCTTCGTACAATTACATTTTGGAATTATTGACAGTTTGACCTTGCCTTCAGTACTACTAGTATGCTTAGAAGCTAAAACCGGTACTATTCGGTTTTGAGGGCCGTAAAAAATCGTCAAACTATTGTTGATGCCAGTGCTGCCAAAAATAATTGCGGCAACCCTAATGCAAGAAAGGAAGTATAATAGTAACTATCTAAAGATTCATGCTTTAATTTAGATGAAAAGTTAATTTCACATAATACATTTTTATTATTATAATTTATATAAAAAAGGCTAAACGTGATGAATGGATTTATAAGAATGAGCCTTTCTATGAAAACATTCTCGGGCAGAATCGCCCACTTTTGTGTTGCCCACTTTTACAAGGTAAAAACGATTAGATTTGTCAATTTTTTTTTTTAAGTGAAAATAGGTCGAGTGTACATAGATAAAGTCAAGGGTGAGCAGTGCCATTTTTGTGCAATTTTTTTTTTTAGTGAAAATAGGGTCGACGTGTACATGGATACGAGTATGTGCAATTCTTAAAAACGCGTCAAGCAGTGGGTGAGTTCTGCACTTTACTCAAAATCAATTCAGACTTTCGTCACGGGTAATCCCAAATTGTTAAAATCATAGGATATCAAAAAAAGGAAAAATTAATAGTATGTCAATGGCGTCTTAAAGAAATAGCACTATAAAACTTGCGCACTCTGAAATCAGTGCGTTACGCTAGATTTGGCACGTTGGTAAATGACCGCGTTTGCTAGATTGGGCGCTTTTGCGCATACATTTCGCTGCAGTTTTTTACGGTTCTCAAAACGGAGAATAGTACCCTAAAATGGCAAGACCCACCGGTCGGCGTAAAAAGCCGCTGGACACTGGTAGTTCGTTCCGGGTGCGATCCCGGCGAACGGGGCCCTGCATGGGGGGTCGTGGTTTTCCCCATGTGTAACGTGGGATACGAGCCAAGTTCCCTTAAAATGACCTCCAGGGGATCCCCCCTTCCGGTAGTGCCTAAGGGCGGAGCACGTATAAATAAAAAAAAAAAAAAATCTGAAATGTTTCAGATTTAAATTACGTCAAAGGGGGTTTTTAACATTTGTGTGTTACCTTTTGTAAATTCAGTTCCGAACTTAAACCATAAGATCCAGTGCAACAGCAATATCGCAAAATAGTTTTAAAACGAGCATCTTAGATTTGATACAGAGATCACGCGCTGGAGATAAAAATGTTTTCTGCACAAGTTGCCATGCTCGCTTGAAATCTTGAGTTTGTAATCAAAATTCGTCAAAGTTTTAAAAAAGGAAATCGATCATAAACAAATTTCAAATTTCAATTTGGGTCTTCCACTGTTATTCGTTGGAGGATTACGTTATTCAAAATTCGATGACTATGACCGTTGTTTTCACAATACGAGAAATATACTACATTTATGCAGATTTTTCATTATTTAATTTCTTCAAAAATAAGCAGGGACTCTAACATTTTTGGCAACAGTTTGAAAGTGAAACGACATTTATGAGTCCGACGCAAAATGCCAAAACGAAACTAATAGTCCTTCGGGATTCAAATCCTTTTGGACTAAAAAAAACCTTGGGAAGAAAACCGGCTATTGCTTCTTATGGTAACCTTTGTACATGAGACTTCGAAATGAAAATGTATTTGTTACCGCTGTCTAGAAGAACAGAGTAACTACGCTGTTTACAGAACGAATCAAGTACTGGAATGATGCAGTATTACTTTTTGATTTGTTCTAGCAGGAAAATATGTCACATTAAAATTTAAATCACTGAAATTTGAGATCGTAGTTGAATCCTCTTTAGCTAAATTTTAGTAAAAAAAAAAGTGTTTTTATGAAGCAATGCATTGTTTCTATGGGAAAATATATTGTCATCATATTGTTTAGATCAGGGGTTCTCAACCGGTGGTACGCGTACCACTGATGGTACGCAAAAAAAAAAAAATAGGTGGTACACAAAGTAGCAAGATATTTTTAACTATTAATTCAAAAATTAAACCCCAACATCCTGATTGAGTTTTTTGTCTAACACTCGTAAATTTATGCGATCTGAGTTTTGTTCAAGAATGGTGGTGGTAGCAGTACTTTATAGTGGTGGTACTAAATATTTTCAACTTTTGTTTAGATGATACGTGTTAGTCAAATTTCTGATTTAGACGGCAAATATTACACTTAAATTTAGAAAAACTACCACCAACACAATGATAGTTATTAAGGCTATTCTTTAACATTCGTACAAACATTACGTTTTTTCACTGTATTGTTTCTTGGCGTTACTTTGCCTTAGTAACAAATTAAGTTTTTTCATTATTGTTTCTTGGCGTTACTTTTTAATTCTTAAAATTTTATACGCTTGTTGAAGAAATGGATATTATTACAGTAATAATTTATTTCTGTACATTGGTATGAAGCATTTTTAATTCCGGTGCTCATTATACTTAAAAAGAAATTTAGAAATGCTTTGACCTTTCCCAACAGTTTCTTTAGAAAGTCCTCCACGAAAGGGCAGTCCTTAGGCAGATAGCCTCGTGTGCTTTGCCATAATTAAATACACCAACCCAACAGTTTCTTTTCGTTTGAAAATTGCAAACTTTGAATGAAGCGCATCTATTACCCCAAATTTCCAAAAAACTATCAAAAGCAGGAAAGTCATTATTAGCTACTGGGCCCACCTGCGGCCGAGCGTTAAAGACGCTGAACACTGGTAGTTCGGTCCGAGGTTCGAATCCCGCGAACGGGCTGGCCGCATGGGCGTTTTCGTCGTTTTCCCCATGTGTAACGTGTATACGAGCCAGTTTGCCTTAGAAAGTCCACCACGAAGGCATCCCTCCCCTTAGGCAGATAGCCCTCGAGGCTTTGCCATAATCACACACACACAAACACACACTCTTATTTAATCTCTACATATAATAAAAGAAAGAGTCTGTGTCTTTCGTTCGTGCTCCGCGTAAGCTAAATAGACCCAGGGCTACGATATTTGGTATATAGGTGCTTCTAGATAAAAGCCAGTGCACCTCGAAGCGATTTTTTCAAAATTCGAATCAGATTTTTGTTTATTTTTATCTTTTCGATTTTATCGCATCATTTTGAATAATTTCATTCATTTGGAAATGAGGTTTTGGCAACAGTTTTTAATTCAGCTCTACACTGGACTGCTGACTGTCGAAAATCAACACTGTTGCCACTTGAAAAAATGAAGGCGATCATTCGGTGCAGTTTTCAAATTGAATGTTTTTCTTGGATACTGGACGTTTGTCGAGAGAAGGCAACGGGAAGTTGGTTAATTTATTTATTAGGATAATTAATATTTGTATTAAGGAATATTGCTTATTTCATTGTAATTTTCTTATATGTAATACTTTTTATTTCTTATGAAGTTGTTCTGCAGAGTAAAATTCTGCGCAGTTTTTTAATTTAACGTTTCGTGTTCCCTTCAGGCATTTTTCCGGTACATTTAAAAACCAGACGGAGGCTGGCCTTGTAGCTCCTAGTATTGAACAAAAATTCGAATAAATAAAATATTTTGTTTTCAATTAATCAGATTGCAAAATCGTTTGTGATTAGCAATTCAGGGATTTGATGGAAAATTAGGAAACATGCTATTGGCTTTTTTGTCGTCTATTGGAACTATCAGTATTGCGCAGAAATGGGATAGACAACCAGAATAAAAAAAACTAAGAAAATGGCGTTAGCAAATAACTTAATAGCAAGCACAGAGTAAATGCTTTCCTTTCATTGTATTATTTTCGCACAGTATTTTATGCTGACAAGTAAGTTCTTCAATTTGAAAACTTTCGCGCTGAAGAGAACCAAGTTCTTCAGCGCGAAAACTTTCAGGCAATTAACTTCAATTGTATTATTTCTTGCGGTAAACGCTATTCTCACAAATCCCTTTTGAATGTATTGCAGGTCTGATATCTTGTTTACAGCATTATAAAAAGGCATAAATATGCATCTCGTTTTAAGGGGACTCGTACACCTTAAAACCCATATGATCTTCGAATTTGTGACTGTTACAAAAATTGGGATAACTTATTTATTTTAAAAGCAATTACTTCCAACTTTTTACAGCTGACTACATAATAGCTGCTTTCTGTAATAGTAGTCAGAAAGTTTGTGTTGCCACAAATATTTTTATTATTTAATCCGCTTTATGACAATATTATTCGTCATGTTTCCAACTTGCGCGCACAGTTTAAAACATTCTGTTGCATAATTTAATTTCATATTTAATATATAGCTTTTTATAACATTTGGAAACTACTGTGAGCCAAAAAGTTCAAGAATTTCATGTTAAATATTTCTTTTATTTGGAGTTGAGTTTATGAAATATATTTTATTAAAAAGTGTTTTCGTGCATAAAATTTTTTAATATCAAAATACTCATCAGATTTTTAGTTCAGTTAAAAAATAGTGCCCATGTAAAGAATTCCATTAAATTTCAAGTATCTACCATTGGCCATTTTTAAAACATCATACGCGCAAGGTGGAAATATGGCGAAAAGTTTTATCGCAAAGCGGAGTAAATTATAAAAATATTTGTGGCAACGCAAACTTTCTGGTTACTAGTTTCCAAAGCAGCTATATTATGTAGTCAGCTGTAAAAAGTTGGAAGTAATTGCTTTTCAAATAAATAAAAATATACCAATTCGTTCAACAGTCGCATATTCGAAGATCATATGGGGTTTAAGGTGTATGAGCCCCCTTAATCTTCTAACCTAAATAAGGCTTAAAGTAAGTTTTACAGTGATGATTACACGTTATCTGAAATAGCATAAAATCATTGTTACATTTTTAGATAATTCTATTTCGACGTGAATAGACGAAAAATAGTGAATAGATCAGAAACTCCGTTGTGAAAATGGCATTTTGTAATCGTTTATAATTTTAAAAAATATTTCTCTAATGTGTTATTGTTTCTTCATTTTTAGTTACTCCTCAGACAGCTGCAAAGAACTCTGGTGAGTATAAGAAATTTTGCATTTAAAAATTTGTCACTTTCCAATGTATACTGAATTTGTCACAAGTTTTGGAAAATTTTCTGATTTTAAAGATCATTAACTATTTTAGTAGTACTTCGCAATAATTATGTACAATACTCGCATTTTGTCAAATAAAATTACGCACTGTTTTTTAATAAATTTGCAAGACGCGTTGAAATTAAAACTGATATGTGTTAAAATTGAGAAAGTTTCCTTTATTTTCATTCTTTTTAAGCTATTGTCCGAGTTTATATAACATTATTTTAACGAATTTAGTTAAAACTCAATAGCAATACTGAAATACACATTCATAAAAAAAATCAATGATTTTAAAAAGAATTTTTATTTCTCGAAATTGGCTGAACTAAATAAACTGTTAATAAAATTAATTTCAGCTAGTCAAAGAATCAGCAATGATTCAAAGTATCTACAAGTCAAAGTTTGATTTTTAAAGAAAATACTTGCTACATTTTATTACTATAACTATTAACTATTTAAATAACTATTAAACTATTTAAAGAAAATTAAACTAATAAAACTATTTAAGAAAACTAATGAAACTATTTAAAGAAAATACTTGCTAAATTAGGTGCTACTTTGGTAGACGGTTGCACGTATTTTTAGCGATTTACGTTGGCCGAATTGTTGGCGCGATTTTTACAAACGTCAGCCATCTTGAAAAACGCTGTTTTTACGCATAGTAAAGTATTCGAAACTTAAAAATAAATAAATAAATATCGTTAAAAGTAATGGATTAATTTTTTGTTGAAAATGTCGTTTTTTAAGATGGCAGGCAAGTGTAAATAAATACATTTACTATGAGTATAAAATACTAAAGTAAGGTTATTATTACTTTCATATAGCAAAGAAGAGAATAAAAACACCGCTATAAAAACATTGGGCCAACGTTTAATTAGATTAAAAATATTACTGAAATTGAATATCGAATTAAAAAACCATCCTACCAACATTTAAAAGAATTAGAATATTATTAAATTCAAATACTTTAAAATACGTTATATAGAATATAATTAACATTAAAACATATGGACAATAATTATCTCAGCAATTTCTGAAAATAGTGTATTAATTTTTTTAACAAAAATTGAAGTATACAATTATAAAATAAAAGAAAAATATGTACTTACATTTTTTTGAGTGTTTAACCTGTTGTTTACTGATAAGTACCACAATAAAAAATCAGAATCATAATTTAGATAACATCTTTGAAGGAATTCGAAGATATAAATTAAATTTTAAAACGGCGCGGAAATGCACAAATTGTCAGTAACCAATCGGGGAGCTGATTACAGCTCGTTAATGCACAAATATTCTATAACCAATCAGAGAGCTCATTACATCACGGTTAGAATTGAAATTATTTAAAAATTCATACATAATAAAATCATTTTTTAAAAAAATGCAAAATTAAATTGTATTTTAATATTTAAGAGCCATAAATGTTTAAAACATTAGATTAAATTAACATATTAAAACGAATTACTTTTAAAGTAAGGGACGTCATTGATTACATCATCCACAACATAAATTTCATAAAATATGATAAACAATAAAATTTTTATTTCAAATAAAAATGCAAAATTAAATTGATTTTTAATATTTAAAAGCCATAAATAATATTTTAAACACGGAATTTATGCACAATAAAACGCATTATTAGTACAAAGGGATTTGAATCCCGAAGGACTATTAGTTTCGTTTTGGCATTTTGCGTCGGACTCATAAATGTCGGTTCACTTTTCAAACTGTTGCCACAAAATGTTAGAGTCCTGCATTATATTTGAAGAAATTAAATAATGAAAAATCTGCATAAATGTATGTATATTTCTCGTATTGTGATAAAACAACGGTACATAGTCATCGAATTTTGAATAACGTAATCCTCCAACGAATATGAGCATGTGGAAGACCAAATTTGAAATTTGAAAATTGGTTTTATGATCATTTCCTATTTTTTTAAAACTTTGACGAATTTTTGATTAACAAAACTCAAGGATTTCAAAGCGAGCAATGGCAACGTTGTACAGAAAAAAACATTTTTATCTCCAGCGCGTGAGACTATTGTATCGGAAATTCTAAAGATAGTGCTTCGTTTTAAAATTATTTTGCGAATATTGCTCGTGAACAGGAATTTTATGGTTTAAGTGCGAGGAAAACATGATATAATTAATAAATAAAGGTAACACACAAAACGTTTAAAAAACGCCCCTTTGGACGTAATTTAAAATCTGAAACATTTCAGATTTTTTTTTTTTTTTTTTTAAATAAAATGACAACAAAGTATCGGTTACCATAAATAACTTATCCAGCAATGGGTTTACCGTAAGTTGTATTACTCGCCAAAGGAAAATCGCCAAAAAATTGCCAAAATCCGTGCAACCAAAGTAGCACCCTAAATTATTTTAAGTATGAATATCAAATGAGAAAAAATGAGGTAATTGTTTAATGCAGCTCCTCTTCTTCTGCATAAATTGTTCCATCGAATAAAGTAGACGAATTTCACTATAGACCGTATAAAATGGCATCAGCATTTTAGACATTTTCCAATGGAACGATAGATAAACAAACCCGAAGAGAACTTAGCGTTGATATTTTGTGCTTGGTTAAATAACTGGAAAAGAAAAATTTTGGGTAACGGTGGGGAAAGTTTGCGATAAAAGCATTATGCAGAAAATAGTAGTGGCTGAGAAGGTTGCCTTTAGAGTGTTTCATGAACGTTGAAAAAAATCGAATTTTTAACTGGCACAAGGAATAGAACAACGGAGCTAAAAATTCTTGAAGGATCATTCAACGGTGCGTGGACTTTATAATTACCACATTATTTCTTATGTTGTGAATCTAACCTCGCTTTTTACTATTTTAATCTACTCCGTCAGAACATGTAAATGAAATAGGAGCAAACATTTAAGATAAATGACTAGCAACTTCATGCCGCTATAGTTAAACTCCTCATTTCCATTAGTATTCGTAGAATTACGGAGCCAAGTTATTCGGCTTTAAAAATCAAACTTTGACTTGTAGAATACTTTGAACCATTGTTGACTCTTTGACCAGCTGCGAAAAGCTGAAATTAATTTTATTGACAGTTTATTTGAACTTCAGTTCCAGGTTACAAAACAAATGCTTTACGTTGCAGTATTTATTTAGTATTCTAGAACTGAAAAGTAAAGACGATACCAGACTTTGTCTAATTCTACAAAGAGACCCTTTTAGAGTAAGCTATACAGTGTAACGTTTTTGAAGCAGTATTTAACGAAATAGTGGATGAGATTCTTAGTAAAACATAAATTTTATTCTCACTTCACGGAGATAGATAATCTCTACATATAATAAAAAGAGTCTGTGTGCCTTTCGTTCGTGCTGCGCGTAAGCTAATAAACCCGGGGGGGGGGGGCTACAAAATTTGGTATATAGATGCATCTAGACAAGAGCCAGTGCACCTCGAAGCGATTTTTTTCAAAGTTCGAATCGGATTTTTTTATTTTATCTTTTCGATTTTATCTCATCATTTTAAATGGTTTCCTTCTTTTAGAACTGTGGTTTCGGCAACAGTTTTTCATTCAGACTGTTGAAAATACGAGGTAAACTGATGCTTTTTTCCTTTTGATTTTTGAGGCCCACAAGCGGCCGAACGGTAAAGTCGCTGAACAATGGTAGTTCGGTCCGAGGTTCGAATCCCGCTAACGGGCTGGCTGCATGGGCGTTTTCGTGGTTTTTCCACGTGTAACGTGTGTACGAGCCAGTTTCCCTTAGAAAGTCCTCCACGAAAGCATCCTTAGGCAGATAGCCCTAGTGTGCTTTGTCGTAATTAAGGGGACTCATACACCTTAAAACCCATAAGATCTTCGAATATGTGACTGTTGCAAGAATCGGGATAACTTTATTTATTTTAAAAATGGCAATTACTTTCCAACTTTTTTACAGCTGACTACATAATATGGCTGCTTTCTGAAATAGCCATCAGAAAGTTTGTGTTGCCACAAATATTTTTATAATTTAATGCGCTTTCTGACAAAATCTTTCATCATGTTTCCACCTTGCGCGCACAGTTTAAAACATTCTGTTGCATAATTTAGTTCCATATTTAATATATAACTTTAATAACATTTGGAAACTACTGTAAATCAAAAATTCTAAGAATTTCATGTTAAATTTTTATTTTATTTGGAGCTGAGTTTATAAAATGTATTTTATTAAAGATATTCTGTAATATTTTCGTGCCTAAAATTTTCTAATATTAAAATATTTATCAGATTTTTGGTTCAGTTAGAAAATAGTGCCCATACAAAGAATTCCATCCAATTTCAAGTATGTACCGTTAGCCATTTTTAAAATATTATGCGCGCAAAGTGGAAACGCAACGAAAAATTTTGTCACAAATGGGATTAAATAACAAAAATATTTGTGGCAACACAAACTTTTTGATTACTAATTTCCAAAGCAGCTATACTATGTAGTCAGCTGTAAAAAGTTGGGAGTAATTGCTTTTAAAATAAATAAAATATTCCAATTCTGGCAACAGTCACATATTCGAAGAGCATAAGGGGTTTAAGGTGTATGAGCCCCCTTAAATAAACCAAACCAAACCTTTTGGACAGGCAACACGCACATCGCAATCTTCTTAGTCTGACGCGCATGTGTCTCACAAGGCACAACAGAAAGAATTTTTTTCCCTCTCTCTCTTTATTAGCTAATGGCAAAGATGTTTGTATATTTTGAATTATGTCATCCATAAAGCACAATTTTGATAGGTTATTGCTTTCTGGTGGTAGTTTCATTTTTTTAGAAATGTGGTTTTGTAACAGTTTTCCATTCATTGCTTTGGATACCGGACTGCTGTTTTCTCTTGAAAATATGATATTTATTGCTTATTTCATTGTCATTTTTTATATTATGTTCTAATTATATATAATTTTAATTATATAAAAGGTTTTGCATGACTTTTAAGGAAACAATGT